GGAACGTGAAATGATATTTTAAATATTTTATATTTTATTATCTTATTAAAATTGTGATTTGACGGAAAATATTAAAATATTAAAAAAATATTAATGATAAAAACTCAGTCTTTCTCGGTTAAAAGAAGGTCTGTCTGTGTGTCTTAACAAACAATGTAGTTTAATCACGTAAGCCCATACAAACACAACTGGAGATATTACCACAACAAGACATTTAACCCAAGTTATATTTAAGCAACATTTATCCAATGTAGAGTTTGCAGATCGTGGATAACTTATTTATTCGCAGTCAGAGGGAGAACAGTGCTGATTTGTGTGCAAATTATTTTCGCAAACTGATTCTGCATTAAACACAAGCGGATTTAATGACTTAAAGCATACATTTAACGACGTTTCGCATCATGAGAACAGGCAACATCATTGGAAATGCATGACGACTTGCTAGATTCGCCTAAAGGTGCCTGGAGGAGTAGATAAACAATTGACAATTCAATTTAACAATAATCCTCAATACTTGAAGTGTTAAAATGAATCATAGCGGCCATTAAAATTTTCAGCGTCAATAGGATTTCCTTTGGCTTAATAATAAACTGAAATTATTTGGGAATTATGAAACTCTTTATTCAATTTGATAAATTTCCGTATGGTAATGCTGGAAATCCATCATATTTGTCTGTAATGATTTGCAAAGAATTTGTAGGACTCACAGTATCGAAAATATTGGCAACTATTGTCACTGATGTACGTAAAGCAAATATTTCTAAGTTTCTGTGGATTCTACACCAGATGTAATGTAATGACATTTAAGATACGCAAAGAATTCTGTTCAGAAAGACCGATTTATGTAATTTATTCCCGTTAATGGACACAAAGCAAATCAACTTGTTCTTGCTGTTACATCGTTTCTGAAAAATAATCGATTTAATAAACTGTAGAGGTCAGGGGTACCGAAACTCATCGAATATATTAAGGATTTTTTCGGAATTGCAACACAGACTTAAATAACAAAATAAATATGCCTTATATGTACCGTGTGCAGGACATTCTATAAACCTAGGTGGTGTGCTGGAAGTATATTGTAACTTAAAAGTTATAATTTATTTTGATTTTCTTCAAAATCTCTACAATTTATTTTTTTTGGTTAACACATCGTTGAGACTGAAGACTGAAAGTTTGTGACAATGGGGCGTTTTTGTAGAAAATTGTTTTCTATACATTATCCATAGTCCAAGATTAAATAAAATCAATAAACCACGACGTTTCGGAAATGTTAGTCTATCTCCGTCTTTGGGTAAAACATACAACATAATGTGATGAAAGAGTAGAAGCTTAGCATGGCCATATTTCCCCTCAAGTAATATTCTTTAAATTCCTTAGAACTTTTAATTCGTCACTGACTGAGGAACAAATACATTTGACTGGTTCAGTACACGGTAATATTACTTTTATTAAGGGGTTCAGCCCTCGGTAAGAGTCTGAAAAATTTTAAATGACATAAATATGAACGTACAAACATTTTTTATTCTCAATAAAATCTTCCCCGGTAATCAGCCGCGTCAACTGGTTATCGTAGTAAACCGACGTTTCGGGAACCAACTCAAGGTTCTGATGATGGGGACAGAGTTGGTTTCCGAAACGTCGGCTTACTACGGTAACCAGCTGACGCGGCTGATTACCGGGGAAGATTTTATTGATTGTAATCGCCGCGAAAGTCTCAAATCCTATATTCTTTATTCTACCAACATACCAAGTTTAGGTTTTGTTCTGATGTGCCCCCTCTTGGAAAAGCCCAAAACTGCTTCAATGCAGTTTATTCCCCAAATTTGCTTTATTGTGTGACAAAATGTCAAGTTTTTAAGCCGAGTTGAGTGGAACGCGACGGCAACAAGCCCCAGACTAATGAGACAAACGGATTAGGAGAATTCTCTTTGCTCCTCAGGGAGCCAGACAGATGCGGGAACCAAAATGTCTGCCCCATCCCACCAGATTCGCGCAGTTCGCCACACAAGTCAAGAAATATCTTGTGCCAGCCAGCTCTAGGGTTGTGCTGGAACGTCACGTGACGTACCACATTGCGTCACAACATTTCTCGTGTTGACTACGTCGATTTATGATAAAAGTTCCTTATAAATTACATTCCCAGTGCCAGAGAAGATTTGGATGGACGTTTATAAATCGAAAACCATATCCGTGGTTGGATAAACCGTACAACAGCGTGTCCGGTGAAATAAATGCGAAACCAAAACACAAAATTATAGAGGCATAATGATTGTAAATAATGTAAATTTAAGGCCATTTCGAATAAAATTTAATATTAAATACATTAATCGCCATTCAGTTTAATTAATGAAGGTAACAAAATTCATCCAGTGATGAATATCCGAATTTAACTGATATCAGATGAATGGTCAGCTTCGTATCGTAGTTAGCACATCTTAGTATTCAGGGAGGCTCTGGATTCAAATATTGGCTCAGAGATCGGTTAGCCTGACTAATGGATTTCATGGTTTTCCTAAGTCATTCCAAGAATATTCCTGTCTCCATCCACTTACCTTCCAGTTCGTTATTAATTGATCGTTTTATGCACTAACATGAGATCCTATTATCAACGTCGTTAAACAAACCATAAATAAGATGAATATCACTGGGTTGTTGCGCCATGTAGTCTGGTAGAAATTTACCGACGTTACAGAGCTCCTTGCTGCCTCCATCATCAGGACTATGAGATCTGTGAAACGTCTGTAAATTTCTACCAGACTAGACGGCGTAACAACCGAAAGGCAGCCATCTTCAAACTCACAGCCGTGGGAAAGTCAAATTCTACAAACTGTAAATACAATTTAATCAGCGAAAGTAATTTGGTGAAAGTGGCAGTGACACGTCTCAGCTTTCTACTGCCCGGCGAACAAAGAAACGGTGAAAGTTTCGAGTTTTTACATCGCCGAGTTTATTTTCCTCGTGATGTCAAAAACCTTGACATCACGCGACATTTATATTTATCTTTGCGTTATTAAAATGTGTTTACTTCCATCTAAGTTGCAAATTAATTCTTGTTGTGTGTAAGACGACATTTTTTAAAAAAATAAAAGTCTTACTTACTTTTCTGAACGACCCTAAAATGTACACAAAAATATTTGCATTAAGCAAATAATTTTGTGACGAATCAGTTGTGTCAAGGTTAGTGCACACGTGCCTTAATCACTCGCTGATTTACAGAATCTGTTCAGTTTTGTGTCCTCGAAATGCGTTTTCTCGGGTTATCGTTCGGAACTACATATCGAATCCCAATCTTCAGAAACAAAGATGCTGTATGAAATCAGCTGTTTGTATCCCGACAATATGGCGAGTCACTTCACCAAAGTTCTCTACCAGAAAATTAGGATCACAGACCAACGTTGCTTTTCTAGCATAAAGTGAAATCTATCATCATCATGTTATGTTTATCCATGCGTGATTCATATCCAAGCATCTTGACAGATGTAGATTTAAAATCCCTGGAGTAACTGAGGAAAACTGCAAAGAACTCACCAAGGATAACCGGTCTCTGGTCGGAGATACGAACTCAGAAACTCCTGAATATGGAGAAACAGTGCTAACGACTTCGCTGTTATTTATGACTACTCTATATTTTCTGGTTTTATTTTAACAAATTCACAATAATCTAAGCAAGAATACAATTGATATTCAATTCAATTCAATTAATTTATTTACGTGTTTGCCAACAGCAAAAGCCAATAACAGGCAAACACTGATAATATATACAAT